TTGTCACAAGTGATCTATATATTATCTTCATTTTTCACATTGTGACGTCACAAACAAGGCGCAAACCATTATTCAGCATATGCTATTTATTGAACTTGGTTTTGTGTGTACTTAGTTTTATTCTAATATAAATAGTGGTTTTTTTTAGAATATAGAGATACTTTTTATCACACCTTGTACATTGTATTTACTAATTGCTACATGTAGTCCATCCTTAGGTCTTCTGCCTTTTTGTGGAAAGACCTGTAGCAGGCGCGGATCCGGGGGTGCCTCCTGAACCAAAAAACGAATCAGAAATTTCTTGACTGACCAAAAAAAACAACATAAATTCGCCCAAACTCGCCCAAAAGTCAAACACCTATTTAGTGTGTGTGTGTGGCGGGGGGATAATGGTAGTCGTTGACTTCTAATTTTTAAAGCCTTTCACACCACTATAATACAAAACTGCATTTTACAGGAAACCTGTGTTTTCCAAAGGGGGCGTGTCACTTTTTACATGTTTTGATATATAAGCTTGGTAGCCTTGCTGCCCTGGCTGATCCCCGCGACCCCCCTCTATATCTGTGAATGTTTTAAAATGCTTTTATTGAATATTATTTTATAATTTTATATTTTGAGGTGTTTTGAAACTATCCACATAACGTACTACACCGAGCCGTCCGAAGACAAAGCTGACAAAGAGAAAAAAAAGACCCTAGCCTAAACAAAACCTTACATATCTCAGAATTCATTCAAGCCTTTGGTATATATAAAAAATCAATGTTTGAAACGTTACCCAGACATCGACAAGAGTTAGATTTGTATGAGAGGGACATTGTAGACAGAAGTCCTTCCTTTTTATTTTGCATCCAATATTTATAAATATCTTAACCAGTTCTAGCATTAATTCCAATACAACGTCCATTAATATACATGTGTGCCGATTGTTCTTTACTTATCAGTTGATTTTGTTATTAATTAATTTTCAACTTTATACACAACAATTCCTCACGACAAATTAAAATCCTGGCTTTTGATATCATTGACAGCTCATTCTTCAATAAAAATGGACCTTTTAAATTTACTTATCTCCTCACAGGTCATTTGCAAAATTATTTTGTCAAAACAGAGTCTAATTGCTCACATAAGTACTCTGAAATTGACATCAATAAGATGCCTGAGTTTCTGATTGACAATATCTATATGGTTTTTGGAGACCAGGTATTCCAACAATCTATTGGAATTCTTATGAGTACAAATTGCGCTCAGTTATTTTTTATATTCATATGAAGCAGAATTTATGCAAAATCTTATGTATGAAAAGAAGAAAACACTTGTGGTGCCCTTCAACTCGACATTAAGATATATCGACGACGTATTGTCAATTAACTATAGTAATTTCCATTCCTACGTCGATACGATATATCCTGGCGAGCTTGAGATAAAAAATGCCACAGAGTCTCACACTTCTGTTTCATACTTGGATATTTTACTTGAAAAAGACGCTAATGGTAATCTAACAACCAAGCTATTTGATAAACGTGATGACTTTAACTTTTCTATCGTCAACTTCCTTAGTTATACAGCACACCTGCATAGGGAGTATATATATCTCAGTTGATTCGATACGTAAGAGCGAGCATGCTCTACGTATGAACAATTTCTAAAACAAAGTAAATTATTAACAAACAAGTTGATGAAACAAGATTATCAGCAGTCTCGTTTGACGTCATCATTTTGTAAATTCTATGGTCGATACAATGACTTTGTCAGCAAATACAATTTATCATTGAGTCAAATGCTGACTGACGTTTTTCATACAAATTGTTAATTAGTCCATTATCCAAAAAATGAATTGACAACGGATTTTTCCGTTATTTCCTGATCATGACAAGGAGCACACGGCGGGTGTGACTGGTAATCAGGGGATGCTCACTCCTCCATGGCACCTGATACCTCCTCTGATGCTTCGGGGGTCTGTGATTGCTCTGCTCTTATTTTGTATTGTTTTATGGATTTTGTTATATTTCCATATCCTTCATCTTTGACTTTTTTACATATGAAAGTATAATTTTATAGTCAGTGATTGTTAAATTTAAAGGTTGATACTTCTTTGAATCATTCTTATCTCATTTTTTTAGATAAGACTGCTATAAGATACGTTTAATTTCCAATATCCGGAACCGCCTTCTTGTTTGGTGAAGTCCATAGATGTTTTTAGGTATCTATGTGGCTCTTTCTAGCATTTTATTATGTGTGCCTGGTATGCATCTTGTAATTATATTTTTTTATAACAGTCAAAGTATCGCTACTTACACATATCGCTACTTATAAATACAAAATGTATTCTGCTTTTAGGATACTTTTAGGAGTTTTTTCATTCTATTTATTGCTAAAGATTTCTTCAACGTTTTCAATAAGTTATTGCCTCGGAAAGTTTTCAAATTTTACATATAACTAAGAATTTTCGAAACGATAAATCGTATATGGCCATTATACCAACTTCATATGATTCATAAATCTTTGATCTTGAAATCTTTTTTCTAATTATCCATTATGAGAAATACATTTCTTTCTATAACTTCTATATCCTCAATCATATACTGTCTTTCTATTACTATCTAATAGGTGCTATTAAAACTATTTCAAAGGTTTTATTTTTGTCCCTTACTATTGACCTTTTTCAAAGTTATTGCCTATTGTGTGAAAAGTCTTTTTATCGCTGCTTCACCGAAACCGTAGATTGCAGTGAAACGATATCTTCAGTCTTAAGATACAACTGTTCATTGCAAAAGAATCTGATGACCCCGTATATGAGTTTTTGCCCTTTAATGTCTTTAAACTTCAGATTAAACCTTATATCTTTTGAATAGCAACCTATAGGCATTAGGTCAAATGCAATGTGACCCCTACCCTTGGTCAATACAATGGGCATACATCATTTAAACATAGGTGTGACCTGGACTTATGGAACAGTCCACTAACCTGTTGTACCCTATTTTAATGGTATAACCCTTTGTCAACAGTCTCCTTTAAAGTCATCATTTCGTAAATTCTGTGGTCGATACAATGACCTTGTCAGCAAATACAATTTATCATTGAGTCATATGCTGACTGACGTTTTTCATACCAGTTGTTAGTCCATTATTTATACACTGAATTGACGACGGATTTTTTCCGTTGTTTCCTGATCATGACAACGAGCACACGGCGGGTGTGACCGGTCGGCAGGTGATGCTCACTCCTCCATGGCACCTGATCCCACCTCTGATGTTTCAGAGGTCCGTGTTTGCTCTGCTCTTATTTTGTATATTGTTTAATGGACGTTGAGATTGAATACTGTTCGTTATCTCCTTATCCTTCTTACATGTATATATAAGGCTGGAGAGGCAGTTTTGGGCATTCTGACACCCATCGATGAAGGTATAATCGGAAAAGAAGTTAAAGGGTAATTATAGAACCAGAAGTATTTAAAGGGCAAAGGAAAAATAAGTGAGGCTAGAGTACAGAGCACCGGTGTGCATTTAACCAAGGAATTAAATTGAAGTACAAGGTGGGGTAACACTTCAGTAAGTGTTTTGTACGGAATGCTCATTGAAATTCCTGGCTGCCAAAGTCATTTTACGACTAAGTTGATTAAGATTGGCAAGTTGGTCAATAAGAAGATTCTAAAATGAAATGGATATGATGCCAGTACAGACTGGTGTATTCGAGATTCTTTTGGATTAGAAAACTGAACTGTTACTTTATATGCATTATATTATGATAAAGAAAAACACTGGAATAATATGATACAACGAAAGAAGTTCAAAATATTTTTGGAGTAATATTTACCCATATGAGAAAATGTTAATTTCCATTTTCTTTTGAGACATTAAAAACGGTTTCACGTCTTCTAGTATTGATTACTATATTACATGTATAGTACCCAATTAAATGTGTGCCTTTTTTCAACACCTGTTATTAAAATGAATTGTTGAAATGTAAGATATACTTAGAAATACAAATTATCTATAATTATTGTTTTAAGGTAGGATTCTTCTCTGGTTTCTGACGAGATGGAATAATCAAAGTACATTTGTTGATATGTCTTATATATTTAGATGTAAGAGATTTAAAAGACCATATTTTTCTTTCCTCATCATAGTTATACAACTTTAAATAGAAATGGAAAACTGTGTTTGAAAACTAACAGGGACTATATTTTTGGCGGAATGATGGCGTATGAAAATATCTTCTTTTCTGCCTCTCAAAATTATTATAGAACATTGAATTTAGTTATTATTTTTACGCAATCAAAGACTAGACAAAATTTTCAAATTTAAGTTAAATTAATAATAAGGGACTAAAGTTCAAAATATATCAAATAAATAAGATTTTTCACACATACTAGAACTACATTGGGTTTTAAATGCTTAAAATCTAAGTACAGATTTACGCCAAAAATCTGTAAAAAGTGTTATTTTTCTCTAAGTAAACAATCAAAACTTTTTTGTTTTTGTATCATTTTGTACCTTTATGTGACAACTTTACTATATGTGAAAATTAGAAAACGTTAAATATAGGAAGCATATAAAAATAACTAAAAAATCCAAAAAAAAAATAAGAAAAGTAGAGGAAATTCGGATTAGCAAATATATATTTTATTTAAATTATCCATGTCAATTTGGTAATATCGTCTTATAGGCCCTATATGGTAGTATCTTTTTATGCAAACAGAAAAACATTCAATCTTTTGAATTACAAGTAGGGATCGCATGATTGAAAACAGTAATTTTTTATTCTTAATGTCCAGGAAAAAGGTAATGACCTTGACCTGACCTTGCCTCTAATATTAAACGGTCAAATTTAATCTCACTGATACCATCACTTAATGATATTGTCCTCTTCAATCTGTGAAAATTTCATTAATTTTTAAATACAAGAAATGTGAGAAGAATCCTACCTTAAGAATTAATAACCCAATCTTTTGATTATTTCGATTATGTACATGCATACAAAGGTAAAACTGACTAACTGACTAAGATGGAATATTTTTTTTATTATTTCTTTTGATTAAAGCAATGATAACAATAAATTTAGCACTTTCCTTCAGTAAGAAATCTTGATAGGTAAACGACACACTCTCTGTGATTAAGTTATCTTTATAGTTAGCCAAACACTCTCTTTAAGTAAGTCATCTTTATAGTTAGCCAAACACTCTCTTTTGATAAGTGATCTTTATAGTGCATAGCGAAATACAGTTGCTAAAAGCATTGGCATCTCCATCTTCCCCAACCACAGGGGTGACAGACCCCCATACGGCGCCCTCTGAGCACACACTCTCTGTTGCATCGCCCAGTCCCAAAACGGCAACGTCCTCTCGAGCAGCCAAATATACTCTGACCATGGACAGGATCAACAACTCCCAACAACAGGAAACTCAAAAAAATGATCAACACACATGTCCTCATCTGCAATATAACGTACAAAGTTTGTGATATTATGTGTGGTTTATCTTTGATTACCATATGCATGGGTGCATTACAATTTGTATCGTTCAAACTAACTTTATAGTTTCAACCATGCTTGGGAGTCAACAAATTCATCCCAAATTAACCACCAGATTTAACTTATCATTTTAAATACAGTATCTTAAGCTGTCAACTATCATTTGGCAAAGAACAAATTTCTACATTTTAGTTTTTGAAAGTTGATGATTTTTGTATATCTCTATATCGAGCTTCTCTTTAAAAAGAGATCAAAATAGTTTGAAAATGGCTGCCCCCCCCCCCTTTCAAAGATAGATTTTAGGTATTTCAGTTTTATTGGAAGTCGACATCATTTCAAAACATAAATTAATCACACGGCTTATTTACAAAATAAAATGATTTCACAATACAAATATGTACATATGGCAAGAAATAATTAAAATATTGTTAAATGTGAAGTCATTAGCAAAATTGTTTTGAAAAGCAATTTTGAATTTAAAAACTTATTGTTCCTTGTTTAAATTATTCAATCAATTTTTCAAAAAAACTTCCTAGAATATGATTAATGTCCTTAAAGCATTCACATTCTCTTTGACAATTCTTTAAAAAAGAAGAAGAAATAGAATATTTTGGAACTAAACAGGACTTTACACGGGTTATTCAGCATACACATCTGTTTTTTTTTTTTTTTTTTTATAAGGCGCCCTGTACGTCAAACATTTAGTAGAGACTTCTTCCAATGATAAAATTCCGCAAATTCTATCTTTGATACCAAAACATGACTAGAGCCCCAAAACGTAAGAGACGGGTGTACAGACAGACGGACAGACGAAAACCCCGACTACTAATTACCCTTCCAATTTTCAAGCTCGGTTTATAAAATTGTATTTGTGTACAATTCTTACTTGTAGTTATGTCGAATGTTGGAAGAGAAAAAAAACAGATCCGAATCGTTATCCCTGTTTTGTTTTAGATTAAGGAGATTATGGGGATAATGCCTCTTCGGTAGGGGCTAATTACCCCTCCATAGCTCCTGATCTTCTTGTAGAAACGTGTTTACTCTGCTCTCATTTTCGACGTTAGTTTGAGTCTGAACTTCATTATTGTTTATTATATTTTCAATTCATTCTTTTGAAATACTAATAACAGGATGATATGTGTAATTTTAAATTTATTTTCATAAGAAAAAGAATATCCTTGCAAAAACGAATACATAGCTGCTCAGTTTTGATTTTTTTAAAATTATATCTTTTAAACTTTTACTGCCGTCCTTCCTTATTACATTGATACATTACAGTGGTTGCAACGTTATTATTGACAACTTGTAAACACGAACGATTAGATTACACGAAAGATTCTGCACGATTATTCCCTTTACGCGAACGATCCTGCTAAATTCTAAACGTTACACGATCTTACACGATTACTAACGTAAACACGATTCTTCACATATAATTTCAAAAAAATCAAGAATGGATATTTTCAAAACGAAATGAGGCTTAATACTAATTTTTGATCTCAAATAAGTATATTTTTTTATAACCGCACTTCTTTTATTTTATTTGAATTAAAAACAGCAGACTTGTAAACGAAATGCTTGTTTATCAAAGAACATTCCGATAAAAAAAAAATTTCAAAACGAAATTTACACGTTTTTGAACGCATAATCACACACAATTAAAACCTCAGACGTTTGATACACGCAAAAACTTTATTGAAAACATGGATGCTTTGAAAAACTTTGGCGAAAACATTGACACCTTGAAAAACTTTAATGAAAACTTGGACACTTTAAAAAACTTTTGCGAGATCTTGGACACTGAAAAACTTAATACAAAAAATTTGACACTTTGAAAAACTTTATTGGAAACTTTTACACTTTGAAAAACTTCATCAAAAACTTTGACACTTTGAAAACTTTATTGAAAACTTTGAAACTTTTTTCAGACTTTGATACTTTGAAAAGCTTAATTGAAAACTGTGACACTTTGAAAAACTAAATTTTTCTCGTTCGGGTTACAAGAGTCAATTCAGAAATAAGTTTACGCTCCTTCTTTTCTAAAGTTTTATATATGACTTGAAAAGAGTTTTAATATAATTTACTTTCTGATAAAATTTCCTTACCTTTAATTGACGTCAAGATGTTTTCAACTAAAAAAAATTACAGTCAAGTTTCTCGTTGTACTAATGTATATTACAGAATGTTTCAATTCTTTATTTATAGGTAAGATGCAGGTATTTGATTGGTTTAACAATGAATTTATTGACCTTGAGTTATGTCAAATTAGAAAACAAAATAAATAGAACGCACCTTTTTAAACATCCTAGTTAACAAGTTCATTACAAGATGATTAAGATGAAGATTAATTATTATACAGATTTATAGTTATTGTTAAAAATAAATTGTTTCAGAGACATATGTAGGTTAAAAATGTTAAACTATTTCAGTTGTTGGTAATTGTCCATGTTTTTGTAGAATATAAACATCAAATTATAAATATATTTGAAAAATAAATTTCTGATTTTATTTTCTGTGTTTATTTTTAGTTTTTCCTTCGCTTTTTTTAATTCAATCATTTTTTCTTGTAGCCTTATAGTAAGTTGTTTTTTTAATGCATCGATCGAAAAAAGTGTTCGTTAGAAGTATATTCATTGTAAAAATTCCTATTGAATAAAAAACAATTACGAGTATTAAACCCTTACTTGAATGCTGAAAAAATCGGTTTTTTTTTTTTTTGCTAAGGTTTTCAAGTAAAAAAAAAAATGCCGTAGTTTTGTAAAACATATACATCATTTATACTTAATTTTTTCGTTATAAATTAAAAAAGATATATTTTTTTCAAGATTTCTCTAGCTATTGACTTTAGAAACTGTGGAAACAATCTGTATAACAATTATCTAATTATCGTCATACAAACACTTTTTTGTGTATTGTTGATTTTGATTAATTAATTTTTGTTGATATTACTTTCATATGATTATCTTGGGAAATACTTTTAAGGCCCAATAGATGACCATTTAAGATGATTGTACATAAATTCAAATAATTTCGACTTGTGACAAACTGCCTTTATGAAACAATGATAAAATATGCTTTTCAGTATCATTGAAATCAAGGAAATAACAACAAAATAGTTTGAAACTTGAAAAATATGAATATGACAAATAAAAAAAGGTGAATTGTTTATAGAAATTTAGGAATTTCCATGAACTTTAAATTCTAAATGCGCAAAAATAAGTTTTTATCACAGCTTTAGAATGTCAATCGAAAAGTACAATTAGATTGATAATGCTTGTCTTGATTTATATTTTAATTTGATAACATATTTTTATATGCATTAAAATGTATGTAAACAAATCTGTCATGTATTTTTAGAAGTCTCACTCTTTTTTATCTTGTTAATATTTCTCATAATGTTATACCTTTATAAATGGTAGTGCAAGACTAAAACAATCGCTTCTTAAGGTCAAGATCTAGTAAATGAAGGGTGCCTACAGATTTATCAAATTCAAGAAGTGAATTCCTTAAATGGTGCTTTAAAACTTAGGTTTGAGCAAACAAGGTGTTTCGGGGCATAATTTGTAGGAAAATAAGGTGAAAAACCATAATTAAACTGTCATTTTCAATGAAAAATTAAGAAAATTAGTCATGCATATGGGATATCAGACAAACAAAATGTATCCAGATTGCCTACAGTCTTTCAGGAAACGGTAATTTGTATGTTCTTGGTCTCTTCTTTTAAATAATGTTAAATTTAATATAGGTATCCGGACTACTTTTCAGGTGATTTCAAATTGAATTCCAAGAAAGTACATTATTTTCTACATAATTCTATTTGAGCCGTAAAGTACGGGAAAAAGAAATTTGAAAGTGATTATGACGTCATAATAGATCTTGATCTCAGAGGTCACGTATGAGAGAAAAAGTTGAAAAAAAATCTTTTTAATTTTCAACTCTAGCACCAAAAAGTTAGTCTAAGGACATTTACTAGATCTTGACCTTAACACTGTATACACTGATTTTGAAACAAAATGATAATATTTTTTATTATTTATTAGATGAAGCTATTTGAATTATCTTATGCTAAATCAAACACAAATTAGAAAATATCTTATCAAAGACGTTGGAAGCTAGGAAGGTAGAGGGGAAGGGGGGTGGGGTGCTTAGCCTGTCCCACTTTTTTCAAACATAGATATAATATATGTATAAAAAGAATTGAACCTTAGCCCCATAAGTTTATTTTTTTGATAGTTTTTTTTTACCTCAATTGCTTCCGAAGCTTATGTTTAAAGATATGTATGTTGATTTTTTTTTTCTATTTCGAGTTGAGCATACTACCGACAAAACTATTTTCATTTAAAAGTATACTTTAACATTAGCACTTATTCCACAAAAGTTTTTCGTCTGGATTTTTATTTTATCGATCATATCCTTAAACGTATACGCAATGCGACAACCCCTTTCTCTCTTTCAATCAAACCCCTCCCCATCTCGAGTTAAAAAAAAAGAGTTTATACAGTGAAAACTTATGCATTTTTTTCAATAACTAAATTAACATTTAAAATAATCAGAGGTCACGTTTTGACGAGAAAAAGGTTTGAAAAAAAATTGTAAGGATTCATTTCAACTCTCCATTAATTAACGCAATAAAAAAAACTTCAAAACTATTCCAAGTACATAAAAACACAAGGAACCACCGTGCATGTATACTTGTTGAAAGACGTGGGCGCTTTGTTTTCATCGTTTGTGCATTGGTTAGCAAAGTTATAATTTCTTTAAGTTGAATGATTAAAAGGCGTTTACAGATGGTTAAGTTCATTCTAATGTCATACAGACTGCTCCAGCATTACATTGTGAGTGCCACAAGTTCTACCTCTTGTGTTATTTATTGAAACAGTCTATAATTAGTCCTACAATGCATATAATAAGGTTCATAAAAAAATTTACCTTTTTCTATATTCCATTTTTATTGAAACTACGTAAAAAGTAGACGCTGTCCAAGTAAACTGCTTATATTATATTCGATATTTAAATTTAACAAAATTTAGATTAATATTATTTAGATATATAATATTTCCATTGTTGATCTTTTCTTCCTTTTTTAAAGAAATTTAATTGAGAAAATAGAGTGAAAAGGTTAAAATAATGTAGAACAATCGATCAAAGAAAGTCAACCAACAATGCGAATCTTTGAAATTGGCATAGATATAAACACCATAATATTAATATTCTAGACATCTCATAAGTTGAAAAGTGAAGGTTACCCCATTTGTTTAAGGCAGCTAGGTAAGAACTTTTTTTATGTGATAATAATTGGCAATTTTCTATATTACCTATACTTAACTAAATTTTTGAAAATTAAGTTCAGAATTCAATCTATGAATATCTCGAGTATTATCTATCAAAAAACATACTGGTTTCAGACCAAAACATTCATGAACCACATAGAGTTTTGGAGAAAATGTTTACAAAATATTGAAAGTGGAAAAGTAACTGGTGCTTAATTTGACATAGCATAGCTTGTCTTAGCAAAGCTTATGATACAGTCAATCATAATCTTTTAAAATAAACAAGGAATCATTTATTTGGTTCCAATCATTTTTGTCAAAAAGAACACACTGTGTAAGATGAAACGGTATTTTATCGAATTGTTATATATTTCCTTAGGTCTTACGCAAATATTTATACTTGGGCCATTATTTCTTTATTCTGTATAGTAATGTCTATCCGGACTGATTTAAACACTCAAGAGCTCACTATTTTTACAGACCTGGTATCCTATATTGATTTTGGCGTCTTGAACTGAGAAGCCAATTACTAGCCATCAAGTGAGGACAGTGTTAAGGAACTTATTAGTAGTGATCAAGTGTGGACAGTGTTATAGTAGCTGCTCAGTAGCAATCAAGTGTGGACAGTGTTCTAGTAGCTGCTCAGTAGCAATCAAGTGAAGACAGTGTTATAGTAGCTGATCAGTAGCGATCAAGTGAGGACAGTGTTAAAGTATCTGATTAGTAGTGATCAAGTGTAGACAGTGTTAAAGTATCTAATTAGTAGTGATCAAGTGAAGACAGTGTTATAGTAGCTGATCATTAGTGATCAAGTGTGGACAGTGTTATAGTAGCTGATCAGTAGCAATGTGAGGACAGTGTTATAGTAACTGATCAGTAGCGATCAATTGAGGACAGTGTTAAAGTATCTGATTAGTAGTGATCAAGTGTGGACAGTGTTAAAGTATCTAATTAGAAGTGATCAAGTGAAGACAGTGTTATAGTAGCTGATCATTAGTGATCAAGTGTGGACAGTGTTATAGTACCTGATAAGTAGCGATCAAGTGAGGACAGTGTTATAGTATCGGATAAGTAGCGTTCAAGTGAGGACAGTGTTATAGTAGCTGATCAGTAGCAATCAAGTGAGTACAGTGTTAAGATAGCTTATTAGTAGCAATCAAGTGGGGACAGTGTTAAAGTAGCTGATCAGTAGCAATGTGAGGACAGTGTTATAGTAGCTGATCATTAGTGATCAAGTTGACAGTGTTATACTAGCTGATCAGTAGCGATCAAGTGAGGACAGTGTTATAGTAGCTGATCAGTAGCAATCAAGTGAGGACAGTGTTAAGATAGCTTATTAGTAGCAATCAAGTGAGGACAGTGTTAAGATAGCTTATTAGTAGCAATCAAGTGGGGACAGTGTTATAGTAGCTGATCAGTAGCAATGTGAGGACAGTGTTATAGTAGCTGATCATTAGTGATCAAGTGGAAAGTGTAATACAAGCTGATCAGTAGCGATCAAGTGAGGACAGTGTTTTAGTAGCTGATTAGTAGCGATCAAGTGTGGACAGTATTATAGTCGCTGATCAGTAGCGATCAAGTGAGGACAGTGTTATAGTAGTTGATCAGTATCAATCAAGTGTGGACAGTATTATAGTCGCTGATCAGTAGCGATCAAGTGTGGACAGTGTTATAGAAGCTGATTATTAGCGATAGAGTGTGGACAGTGTTACAGTAGCTGATCAGTATGCGATCAAGTTTGGACAGTGTTATAGTAGCTGATAAGTAGCAATCAAGTGTGGACAGTGTTACAGTAACTGATCAGTAGCGATCAAGTGTGGACAGTGTTATAGTACCTGATAAGTAGCGATCAAGTGTGGACAGTGTTATAGTACCTGATCAGTAGCGATCAAGTATGGACAGTGTTATAGTAGCTGATC